TTTTATTTTTCTCAATTCCATGTTGATATGTCTTTGTAGATGACGAGCTCTTATAGATGTCAAGTTCCAAAGGAAGAACGAGTTGCTGCGCAAATATCACAAGTCAGCAACACACGATACGTTAAAGTCATTTCCTAATATTGGCTTACTATCGCCATATTATTAGTGTCCGTGTTTCTGTACTTAAACCAATTTTATTATTTTTTGTTCGTGAAATTTCACAAGTGTACAGGTCGTGACAAATAATAAAATGGATTTATTAAATCCGAATATCGTCCACAAAGATTACTATCCTAATGTTGGCTTGCTATCGCCATATTATTAGTGTTCGTGCTTCTGTATTTAAGCCAATTTTATTATTTTTTGTTCGTGAAATTTCGCAAGTGTACGAATCGTGACAAGTAATAAGGTAGATTTATTAAGTTCGAATATTGTCCACAGAGATTACTATCTACTATAAATTTTTAAATTAACCTAACTTCAATTTATATTAAAATAGTAACTAATGATCAAATTAAATTTTATTTTCTAAGTGAAATTCTAAATAAAATAACAAAATATTAATTAAAATAACAAACTCAAATCAAAACTGTAGAGAAGATTATGTGATTTGATAGTTAGAATTTTCGATTTCACTTAGAATATTTATCATACATTTAATTCCAATTTATTCAACCACTTTTCATACGTGTAAACAATCGAATGAACCTATTATATTTAGTGATCTTTCTCAAGTAACACTAATCATATTCATATGCCCGAACTTATTATATCTCTATATAAATTCACACACATATGAACGCATTAATCTATAAAAAAGATCGCATAACTTATAATTATTTCTCGATCTCTTATAATGTCTATATCAATCATTGTACGAGCTAGAATTATACATCACCTCTCGGTCTCAGTATTATCCCTAAGTCAATCAATTGTTACGCAGAGAATTAAAGCATTAAACACACAATAATTAATTAACAAGTATCAAAGTGGCATGAAAATCTTGAAATTAAACATACAATAAAAACCTTAAATTACATCATCCATCATAACGATAAAAGTATTTAACCACTCATAACGTTCAAATTAAACACGCAAAAGTGGAAATATATCACCAAAAATTGACGGAACGTAAATAATATCCAAATTACGTGTTGCCGGTCAATTTCCTTTACTTTCTATACGTCCAAATCAGCTGCTCAATGTGTACATATATATTTCAATTGCGTGCCTCCAATTCTGCCGGCCACTATGCGTGTTTTGTATATATATTCAATTTCAGCCTCTCTTTTGCGTGTGCATATATATGGATAAATTAGAAGCTGCCGTCCTTTGTTTTTTTCCTCAAACTGCCGGCTTTTGTGTGTACATAGATAATGATTTCCAGCCCTTGTTACACTTTGCCTTCTTTCTTCCAAGCTGCCGGTCACTATCTGTGAGTATATATATGTGCAGCCCCAATTGTTTTGTTATGTGCAGCCGCAATTGTTCTCCTTCTCTTCCAAGTGGCTACCGCTTTTGCTTTTTTTTTTTTTTTTGGTAAAAACGGATTTACGGGTTCTAAGATGACAACATCTCATTGGTTGGTTTAATTTTTTCATTTTGTCCAAAATTTAATGAACTCTTGTAACCTGACATTCTATAAAGCAGTCTCTAAAAACATCATATATATGTACTATTTCTCAAAATATTTATATTATGTTGTTACATTATAATAATTAGAATTATAGAAATTTGGTTTATAATATTTTTAATGAAAATTTTAAACTAGTATTTACGGTTTAACTTATTCGACATATATATATTTTTCTTTGTTAAACTATGGTTTTAAATTAAATCAAATCGAAAAAAGTAATTTGGATTGGTTGGGTTTAGAAATTGAAATGATTTTGTTTGATTTGAAAATTTGTGACAAAAC